CAGGATGAAGGGAAGAGATTCTGGTTCTCCAGTGTTGGGGTGGAAAATAGCTGGTTGATGCCATCAGTCTTATAGTACTTGCAGCAAACAGACTTCTGCAGCACATGGATCCCAGGGCCTTGGGCTGAGTGCAGTGTGCTGGGCTTCCAAGTGGCTTGCAAGCTACCACATAGACCAGGTCCAGACATTACAATTTTACCTGTAAGTGATCAGAAACCACTCTAAGCCTGTAACAGAACAAACTTTTGGCGCACAGACTTATTTAAAAGTGGTGGAACCTGGTCCAAGACTTGTCGTCCCGCCCCCAACGCAACAACAAAACTGGGGGGGGAGGGGGAATGTGTGCTCTGTTTGCTACACTGCCTATAGAGACCTGTAACTTGGATTTTTTTTTTTTTTTTTTGGCCTCTGGCTTCTTGAATCTGTACCTAACCATAATGTTCCCTCTTGACAAGGGATTAAGCCTCTCCACCAGTGCTCAGGATAGCCTTAACCAGCTGAGCTTTCATCTGATCTCCAGTAGGTCTTTTTTCAATGGGGAAAATCTCTGCTGCGTGGGGAGCTGGCCTGGTAACTAATGCACAATGTGTTGCTTGCAACAGTCATGTTAAAGTGGTTGGCAGTAAAAGGAGTAGCTGTGGTACATACTGGGTGTGTCTACATGGGTGCTTTAATGTGCTGTAACCTATTTTATGCTTTTGATACTGCACATTAAAGCAGTCTAATACCTCACATTGGAGGTATTGAATCTTAATGCATGTTGGGAAAAGTGCATTAATGCACATGTAGACATGCCCACTGACACTTGCAGGCTGGAAAGCATGGGAACTCATGCATGCTATGTAGATCCTACACAGACAAGTCTGTAGGATGTAGTAATGTCTGCTGCTAAGCAACTTCCATGAAGCCTTGGTGTTCCTGGCATTCTGAAGCCTGTAAGAGTCTCGTAGGGAAGACCCCCATGTGGCCATATGTTGGATGCCAGTCTTCTACCTGCACAGTGTTTGCAGGTGATCCAGTTACAGAGCATGTACACATGCCTGCTCTAAGCTTGGGTGAAGAGGCTTGGCCTAAGAGGTGAGGTACTACCTGCACTATCATCTGCTACAGAAGTTCTGTTCTTCCTTTGGTGAGCCCTTTAGCAAGAGGGTGGCAGTCTTCTCCAGCCAGGGAGGTAAATGTCCAATACAGAGCTCCTAGTTAAAAACAAGTGGGAACATGGGGTGCTCTGCCTGTACTGTGGAGTACTTAATTTGGCTGGATCCAAGAGTAAGGGAGCTGCTAGCCCAAGCAGTAATGTGTGTTTGGGGGCAGGGAGGAGGAGGTTTTCTAGCTTCAGTATTGGAGGCCTGTGCAGCCTGTTGGTGGAAACCAAGGGTTCTGGTCTTGCCCCTCTGTGGAGTTCAAGTTTAATTGGTGATCACTTTTGGGATCTTCCTTGTATCAGAACCAGGCCACTCCAGTTTTAGAGGCTATGCAGACTTGGCCTGCCTTCAGGCATGTGGCACCTCCAGTTTGATGCATCCATTAGGACTAGGGCGGGTAGAGGAAGAGTTTACTGAAGTGCAAGGAATCTTCTTACATCTTGGGAAGAAAGCTTTTGAAGTCCCACTTTTTTCTGCATTGACCCAAGACACTGGGCATGTGACAAAAGAGCCCAAAGCATGGCCCTTCTGGGCTGAGGCTGCACTCTGGCTGGTGGTCTACTGGCCTTGGGGAGGCAGCGGTTGGCTGGCAGGGGCTAGTTTCCAGAACTCCCCTTCCCAGATGGGAGCATGCCCAAGGTTTTAGGGGTGGATGCTAGGGAAGGAATACAGCAAGGAAAAACTTTTTCCTGTCCAGTTGAATAGCAGCTTTTTGCAACAACTGCATCAGCGCGTGCACTCAAGCTGTTCTAGTGGGAGGAAGGGCATAGAATTAAACACCTTTCCCTTCCCCAAAGGTACTCTGAGCTGGAAAAATGTTAATGGAGATGAGCAGTGCAGGTGTCAACATAATGTGTTCTTCTGATCCTAGGAAGTCTCTGGTTCAATTGGCTAACGGAGAGCCATTTGCACTGTGTCTGTGACTATTGGGGCCCCAGTGCTGAGGGGATGGGGGGAGATTCCTGACCTCTGTCTGGCTGCACTCCCTTGCTGACTAACTCGGGGCTTGAAAGGGAGGAACAGTTGCTGAAGTGCAAACAATGAGATGGTGTAGCAAGTCCATTCTGCTGCCCTTCTCCTAAGAACATAACAAGTGCCAATGCTGGGTTAGACCAGTGTTTGGCCTAACCCACTATTCTATCCTTAACAGTGGGAGAGCATATGAACAGGTTGGGGGGGG